CGTATTATTTAGAGCACACGATGGCTTTTTTGAGCAATTACTTCCTAAGAATCTTTCCTCTCCTTTGTACTAATACCAAGGGACGGGGGCACCAGGAGGAGACTTAAGCTAAACAACAAACTTTTTTTAATTACAGAGACCTGGATCAGTGTGTAGATAATTGCAAAGTGTTGTCATTTTTCTTTCAAATAACCTGTGAATATGCATGAGGCTTGCCAGGCCACCTTTGGTTTACTTTAGTGATGACAAAGTTTCACATTAGCAGACTTGTAATTGTGTGTGTGCGGACCCCTGAATCATTAACAAAAGCAGTGTTATAAAGAGTCACTTGTTTTATAAATATTTAAAGTTGCACTGCGTAACATTTCGAGTGAAGGATCTGTCACCTGCTTGTTATTGTTGCTTTGTCTAGAATGTTCCACAACAGTACAGATTAAGGCTACATTTACACATAGCCGGGGATGATGAGAAACGAATATTTCCCTCCCTCCATTTTCCAAAATAACATTGTGCACACAGCATTGTTTTCAAAAAAGTTTTCACATAAATACGCCATCGAGCGCCGTTATAACTACACCAAGCCTCTGGACGGCACCTGGATTAGATTCAAACCTGTAGCGTTCATTTCATTACAGTTGTGAATATTACACAAAAAATACATTGAAAAACGTGCATTACTGAGTGGGCTTGCCTCTCCACAGATCTGTTAAAGAAATGGTAAAATTGTTGACCTCTGAGCCTCATTCGTCTCTGGTCATGGATATGATTCATCAACTGTGTGTGTAAATGCAAACACATGAAAAATGTTTGCACCAGAAGAAATGCAACTGCTGCTCTGAATGTTTCATGATCATCATCAGAGCAAAAGGTAAACATTGGTCCCACTTTTGGAGTGTCAGCTGCTTAAAACTCCATTTATCTCACTTTACATGCAAATGCAAACCCATAGTTTTCCAGAATCTCCACTCTAGCCGGAGTTTTTAGAAAGATTTTTTTTTTTCATTTGCATGTAAAAGATGGGTACAAACGAAGGGAAGTGTCTCAGTTCTTAAAAATACCTGTATATGTGTTAACGGGGCCTAAACCTATTTATGTTATTAGGTTCTTTTTTTCAGACTTAGAGTGTTATTTCATACCTGACAGTTTCGACTGCTCACTAGCGTCTTCCTCAGAGTGGTCACGTGATGTTGCTGTGACGTGTCTGGTCAGCTGATTTAAACAGGTTTTGGCGCTGTCTTCCTACCGGTGGAGGCAGGACGACAGCGCCATCTGCAAACCGGGACGGGGGCTTTTTTACTCTCACACACCTGGGATGCTGTCCTGAGGAAGTCGGACTGCAGATGGCGCTGTCGTCCTGCCTCCACCGTTAGGAAGACAGTGCCAAAACCTGTTTAAATCAGCTGACCGGACACGTCACAGCAACATCACGTGACTCTGAGGAAGACGCTAGTGAGCAGTCGAAACTGTCAGGTATGAAATAACACTCTAGGTCTGAAAAAAGAACCTAATAACATAGAATATCGGAAGACCAAATGAATCTCATTGGACTAAACCTATTTATTATGAGGGAGACAAGCAGGTTACAGCACTAGGCTACATTACAGTGCACCTTTAAATTTACACCCTAGCCTGATTATGATTATTACAAATGAATATGGGACTATCACACTCTGCATTTATGGAATGAATATAGCATGCAGTGGTGAAAAAAATAAATAAATAACTAAATAAATAAATAAATATATATATACTAAAATGTTGTACTCAGAAATATACTCAGTTACTACTATTGCGATTAAGTACAGCTGCCAGAACTGTACATAAAGGTGCACATTGTTTGGTTGGGGGTCCGTCACCTGCTTGTTTCTGTGGATATGTCATTGCTCTGCCTGAAATGTTCTAAAGTACGACATTAAACAGATCTACCTTTCATGTATTAGATTACAGGCGGTTTTATAGCAATAAAATGCATAGAAAAACCTGTATTCTGACTGGGAGCGGGGTCGCCTCTCCACAGATCTGACCTGTAACTCGGTATATTTTGGTCTGTATGAAAACAGAAAGGTTTAACGCCGACAAAGCAACAAGATCTCCATTGAGGAAAGCATTTGACGGACCCTCCTTCCAAAAAAACTTGCACAACGCACCTTTACACTTTTAATCATTTTGAAATTTAATGAGTTGTTTGTTTCGCATTTTACGATTTTAATAAAAGTGACCGTTTGAGATAGAATGAGCTAGTTAGCGTGCAACTGCGCAAAGAGCCTATAGCATATCGTTACGGGGACAAGCTCACGATTTGACTTTTCCCCAGTCCTCTCTCACAGCGAGTCAAACATCAGCCGCAGCTATCTGAGTAATGATACATGAGGCGCACACAGACACAGAAGAGACAGCTCAGCACATTTGGATAAGCAGCTATGAGCTCATGAGGCCCGGTTTTGGCAGACGGGAGACTCGGCGGAAGGTTTGGGGCTGGTGGGGAGTTTGGGGGGGGGTGTGACAGGTGTTGAATGAATAAGTGATGATGGCACTGTCAAGGTGGAGCCGGAGCGCGTTCTCCCCGAGGTGCCCGTACCAGCCCCCGCGCCTCATGCGGGGGTCGGACATGTTAAGCACTGCCTCTTAATATTGATGGCGGGCAGCTGTCGGAGAGGCACAACAGCTCTCTGCGCTCGGTGTGCGCGTGTGAGCTCAAGGCATGCTGGGAAATTTCAGGGCTGGGCTGGGATCTGGGGCAATCTGCAGGTGGAATCAGCATTTTCGAAAAAGAACGCAAAACAAGTTCAGGGCTTTAGCAGAGTTCACACTGCCCCGTGGTTAATATTTTATCATATCAATATTATGCAGATATACATAGTACTTTTGTGTATATAGGAGCTGTGTTTGTGTTTGTGCTGCTGCTGTTACTCAACTTAGACTTTAATCTGACTTTTTAACACAGTCCGACTTTAAAGAGCAGATTTAGCCGGAACTACAACAAACAGGTGAGCTGATTTGTGCAGTTAAACAAGTTCCTCTCACCTTTTTTGTTGAAAGTCAAACACCTAAACTGGACCGTGAACGCTCGTATTGAAAATGCGCTGTTTAAATACATGTTGTAATTTTCTAATAAGTCACTGGGTTGTGTTTGATAATTTGTGCATTGTAAAGTTCCATCAAAGACATACATGTAATACCCCTCCCCCCAGCGTGGCCGTAGTATGGGTGGTGGGGTTAGTTTGGTAGTAGTATGGGTGGGTGGGTGGTTGGTTGGTTGGTTGGTTGAGTGGTAGTAGTAAGGTTAGATGGGCTCAGTTTGGGTGGTTGGGTGATAGTAGTATGTGTGATTGGGTCAGTGTTTGATAGTGGTGTGGGTGGTAGTTGGGTGATCATAATTTGGGTGGGTGGTAGTAGTGTCTGTGGTAGTAGTATGGGTGGATAGTCGCAGGGTGGGTGGTAGTAGCATGGGTTGGTGGGCGGGTAGGTGGTAGTTATATAGGTGTGGGTGTGTGGTTGTATGGATGGGTGGATGGTAGTAGTGTCTGGTAGTCGTATGGGTGGATGGGTTGTAGTAGTATGGTTGGGTGGTAGTAGTATGGGTGGTAGTTGGGTGATAATAGTATGGGGAGGTGAATGATAGTAGGTGGCTGGGCGAGGGGTTGGGTGGGTGAGTGGTAGTAATATGGGTGGGTGGGTGGATGATAGTAGTGTGAGTGGCAGTAGTATGGTGGGTGGGGCAAGGGGTTGGGTGGGTGAGTGGTAGTAATATGGGTGGATGGGTGAGTGGATGATAGTGTGAATGGCAGTAGTATGGGTAAGTGGTTGAGCGAGTGGGTCGGTGTTTGGGATTAGTCTGGGTGGTAGTTGTGTGGTAGTACTATGGGTGGGTCAGTGGGTGGTAATAGTTTGGGTGGTTGGTAGTAGTGTGGTAATAGTATGGGTGAATGATAGTAGTGCGGGTGGCGGTAGTATGGGTTGGTGGGCGAGGGGTTGGGTGGGTGGCTGGTAATTGAGTGGGTGGCTAGTAGTTGGGTGGGTAGTAGAATGGATGAGTGGGTGGGTGAGGGGTAGTAGTGTCGGTAGTAGCAGTATGGGGTGGTGGATGGCTCAGGGTGGGTGTGTGGGTGGGCTCTGGGTGTGTAGGGTGGCTCTGGGTGTGTAGGTGGGCTCAGGTGTGTGGGTGGGCTCAGGGTGTGTGGGTGGGCTCAGGGTGGGCTCACTCAGGGTGGGTGGTAGTTGAGTGGGTGAGCGGGTTGGTAGTTTAGTGCGCTGTTAGTTGGGAGGGTAGTAGTATGGATGGGTGGTAGTAGTGTTGGTGGTAGTAGTATGGGTGGGCTCAGTGTGGGTGGGTGATCGTAGTATGGGTGGGTGGGCGGTAGTAGCATGGGTTGTAGTAGTGTTTGTGGTAGTAGTGAGGATGGATGGGTGCAGGGTGGGTGGATGGGGTCTGGGTGGGTGGGAGGGTGGGTGGATAGGCTCAGGGTGGGTCAGAGGGTGGGTGGATAGGCTCAGGGTGGGTGGGTGGTAGTAGTATGGGTTGGTGGGTGGTAGTGGTATGAGTGGTCATAGTCTTAGTAATAGTAGTATGGGTGGGTGGGTGGTATTAGTGTTGGTGGTATTAGTGTTGGTGGTAGTAGTATGGGTGGGTAGTAGTAGTGTGGATGGATGGGCTCAGGGTGGGTGGATGGTAGTTGGATGGGTGGCAGTATGGATGGGTGGATGGGTGGTAGCAGTGTCGGTCAGTGGGTGTTAGTAGTGTTGGTGTTAGTCGTGTCAGTGGTAGTAGTATCGGTGGGTGTTAGTAGTATGGCTGGTAGTTGAATGGGTGGGTGTTAGTGGATGGGTGGGCGGGTGGTAGTTGGGTGGATGAGCAGGTGGTAGCAGTACAGGTGGGTGGGTGATAGTTGGGTGGTAGTAGTACTGGTAGGTAGGCTCAGGGTGGGTGAGTGGGTGTACTCATTGTGGGTGGGTGGGCTCAGTGTGGGTGTGTGTGCTCACTGTGGGTGGGCGTCACTTACGTTGAATGTCTATGGTGACGGTGGCGTCCTTCCCGTTGGGTGCTGCCTTGTTGCTCGCCCTGCAGGTGATGTGCTGCCCAGACTCGATGTTGGAGGGAGACAGGTACAGGGTGCTCACCGTGCTCTCCCTCTTCCCGTCTCGGAGCAGCGTCTGCGGGACAGAGCAGCCATGTTTCATCCACGCTTATTCAAAAACACAACGGTAATGAGAACTTCGACCTTGAGGTAAGTAGGAGGTAGTTTTGATATATAGAGCTATGAATTTTTTACCATAACTTTTCCATTTGGGAGAAGCGTGCATAAACAGTCTCCTGCATCCAAATAATAAAACTCTTGAGTAAAGAAAAGGCAGAGGATTCAGATTGAAAACGTGCCTCTTGGGGAATGTGGATGCATGATTTCTGTAGATAATAGTAATCAAAATATAACAACCGGATGTCAAAAAAGGAAAAGGACAGATCGTTTTATAGATTTTTTACTGTCATGAGGTTGAGCGGACAGAAAATTGCTACTAAACTGGATTCTTAAAGATGTATTGTGTAAATTTTCTAGTGGAAAGTAGGTCAAATGCTTTTCTCCTTGGAGACGTTATTGCTTTGTCTGGAATGTTTAAACTAATATATGTTTTTATTCATTGAGGTGGCATTTTATTTCTCAAAACTGCTACAAAAACCTGCATTATTACGGTGAGTGGGCCCACTTCTCCACAGAGCTGATCTGTAACCTGGTGATGTGGCTGTGTGTCTTTATGGAGATAGTTAAATTAAAGGAAAAAACAATAACGTCTAGATCACAGGTGTCAAACATGTGGCTCGGGGGCCACATCCCATCCTCCAAGTCCTTTAATCTGGCCCTCGGCTGATTTTCTACTAAAATATTTTAATTATATTTTCTATTGAAATATTGGTAATTTTGTGCACTGCTTAGCATAGCACCCTGGTCTAGATAGAGTCAAGTAGGTGGTGAATCCGTGTATCATTCGTTCATTAGTTTTTTAATATAAAACCAAAAATAAGAAAATGAAAAAACAACAGTTTTCTTCATTATTTGTCTCCAAAACCAAAATGAAAAAACAAATAATGATTCGTTTTTTCAGTTTTCGATTTTGTGTTTAAATGAAGAATGGAAAAAAAAACAGATAACGCCCGTTTTCCGTTTACGTGACTTCATTGACTATAATGCCAGACTTTTGAGCTGCATACGGACTGAACCAGGACTGATCCAGGTCCGGTACCAGACTGGGACCAGAGTGGGACTTAGACCGAGACCAGGCCGGGACCAGACCGGGACTGAGACCGAGAAATTTTTACAGAATCAAGAATCAAAGGACCAAACTATGACTTATCTCAGGTAAAAGAAGTTCTATATTTTATGCAGAAAGAACAAAAATGGGGCTGTTTGCTTCAGGTGTTCCAATCAGTAGGAACAAGTAGAGGGTGCTCTTGGAAAAAAGGATCAAAACTCAAACACAATGGACTCCAGGCACTGGTCTTCATCAGGGCTTAATCAATTAAGCCCTGATGAAGACCAGTTTAGGTCGAAACATGTTGGCTTTGGCCATTCAAATAAAGACCTTTTAACTAGATTTTTCCTCGTGCGATGTGTTAACTTTTTCTACTCTTTTGGAGTGCCTGGAGTCCGTTGTGTTTAAGTTCTATATTTTGTTCTGAATGTTAAGCGAATTTTGGAGAGGAATGTTTGCAGAATTTGAGTATTTGGTTCGTCTCAAGTTTGGATAGAGTATTTTCACGCTCTATCGTCCGGTTCCAGTCAAAGTCAAACAGAATGTACATGGGACTGGCTGATCACTATTGTTTTTTATCTTTTACAATTAAACTGCTAACAATTAAACTACTTTTGTCATCCTATTTTTTTGTATTTTCTTCTTGGAACCTCATATAACTTTTACTTTCCATAGCTCCTTTGACCTCCAGTGAAAATTTCGTATTCCACCCGTCATGTGTTCAAGGAGAAATCATTACACTTCAATATTTCAAAAGGAACATACAGCATCATGGCAACAGGATTCAGTCAAACAGAAAATGCCCACTTCTTAACAAGTCTCATTTTAACAGTGGTCCAGGCATTTTGTCAATATACACTTGCAATATCTATTTCCCTTCTTAACTCTCCCAGGCTTTGATTTACTCGAGTGGCCGCTCCCAGAGGCATCATAAACTATAAAGTGGGAACTTGAAACAAAATATGCAATGTGTTTAATTCTGACAGCTCATTCACTTTTTTGTACAGTTCAGGAACTTGAAAAGTGAAATTAAAAGACCCATATTACTCTATTTTCTATGTTATAATGTAGTTTCCTCATTGTAAACATACTTGGAGTTGTGTTTTGTATAGGGCTGTCAACGTAAATGCGTTAACGCACTAATATTTTTTTAACTTAGATTAATCACACAATTTATTTTGGCCGGACATGCTCCTCTTTCGAAAGCGTGCATACGGATGGTGACCTGAAAGGCAGTTCAGGGTATCAGGTCAGTGATCAGGTCTATCCATACGCCGATGCAGAGATGGCTAATGAGACTATGACAGGTGTGCGCAAATTTCTCTTCAAAAAACTCCCTGATGTGACTTTAGATAAAACTAAGGTAGTTTGCACGTATTGTGGCGATGAACTCTCTTTCTACAGAAGCTCAACAAGCTTGAAATATCATCTTAAAGCAAAACAAGTGTTTGATTCAGCGGCGAGCAAAGACGTGACTTGTACACCGACAACAAGCCGAGTATGACAAGCAACGCTGGCGGAGTGCATAAGTGGCAATGTTGTCAACAAATGTATCACCGATAAGTTGACCAACGCCTTGCCAAAATGGATGCATGCAGGCCAGTTAACATCGTTGAAGACCAAGGACTGCACAATGTCATGCACATGATGATCCGTCACACAAACTACCTTCGAGGGGGACGATTTCTACAAGAATAAACAAACTGTACTGCACAAGTAAGACCGCCAAGATACAACAGCTGGCTGATTCTTATACTGACATTTAAAAAATGTCAATATAACTATCTGACAATAAATTGTGTTTTTGTCAAAATATGTGAGTCTTTTGTTGAGGAATAATTAACTGCAATTAATCGTGATTAATCAAAATTCTAGTGTGATTAATCTGATTTTAAAAAAAAAAAATCATTTGACAGCACTAGTTTTGTACCATTCAAACTGAAAATGCTCCAACGTGTGATGTCATGTGGTAATAAAGCAAGTGCTCCACTGTGTTTTTCAAACTCCACATGCCTTGACTAAAATCATTTGGATTATTTCAGATGTAGAATTGTTGATCTCTACTGAACTAAGGTAAAAGTTCACATTTTTATACAGCGCTTTTCTACCTTTGAGGCACTAAAAGCAGTTTACGTCAAGAAACAACTCACACATTCATACACCAGAGTACGCAGACACCGGGGGCTTAAGTGTCTTGCCCAAGGACACAATGACAGCATTCATCTGAGGGAGCTAGAATCATGCCAGCCAACCTGTGGGTCAGTGGATTTTTCAGCTCAACCAATGATGTTTATGTCGAGAGTGGGATTTGAACCGCCAACCTTCAGATCAGTGGATTATTTTATTCGCTAATTTGGATCTAGATTAAAATAATAATAAAACTGATCAAATTTGTGGCTCTGGCATTTTCATTTTACAAACGTATCTCACAGGAGGAAAAAGGTTGAAGACACCTGGTGTAGAACTTAGGGACGTTTTGACATTATTATTCTCACCCATAATTCAAGTCCCTCTTAAAAAAAAGACTTTTTTTTTTTGCAGTGAACATGCCAAGACTTTCAAGCCAAGATTAGAAAACAAAATGTGTAATATATTTTCATTTTTACACACTGACGCAGCTTTCTACAGATACATGAAAGTGTATGTAATGGTGGCAGGTAAAGGTCACATGGAGGTTTTTGTAAAGAGACAAATTTAAAAATGCAAACAGAAATACCAAAAGGTGAGAGTTGATACAGTGAGAGAGAGGGGGAGGGAGGAGCTGTCCTTTACATAGAACAGAGGGTCCGGGTTCAGAAACGAGGTCACTGTATATCAACATTTGGAGAGACGAGGTGGATATTTTGAGAAGATTTTTCGTTTTGCTTTTTAAACGGATCGTATTACTCTATTTTCTGATCGATGTTGTAATGTTGTTTCCTCATCGCAAACATAACTGGAGTTGTGTTTTGTTTCATTCATGCTTAATACACAAACCCTGTAGATTTAGACTCACTTTAAATCCTTCTCTCAAATGGAAAACACTTTCTTACACCTTGTGATGTCATGTGCACTGGACAAAACAAGATCTAGGTAAGTTAAAATGACTTAAATTAAGAACATTTTACGTTAGTTTAGTTGATTCAACTTGACAAGTAAAATTATTTACCAATGGGGTTAAGTGTTAAGGTAAGTTTTTCTTAATTTAAGCAACATTCGAGTTAGTTTCTTAATTAAAGTGCATTTTAAGCAAGATTTTCATATTTTAAGTACAAAAAGTCTTGTTCTACCGGCGAATATTTTTACTTGCCAAGTGAAATCAAGTGATTTTGTTTTTTGCAGTGTGGTCATACAGGAAGTGCTCCACTGTGTTTTAAAACTTCATACACCTTCACTAGAACTAGAACTTCACTAGAATCATTTCAGTCTGGGAAAAACTAGCTGTTAATGTGAAAACTACTGCTTCATGACATCACAAGGTGGAACAGAGCATTCTGAGCTTTGGAGATGTAGACAGACTGATAATAAGGGATTACTCAAACATGTGTAAATGAAACAAAACACAACTCCAGGTATGTTTTTGAGGTGGTAACAATGTCATAACACAAGTTAGACTGCAGCCTGAAGTAGCCCAAATCAGATTTTTTCGCCCCATGCGACCTGTATTTGATCTTATAATGACAGTCTGAACGACGCAGATCAGATTTTTTCAAATGTGACCCAGGCCACTTGGATATGTGCTCCTGAAACCGATATATATCTGATCTTTTGACATGCGACTTCAGTCTGAATGGCCAGGTCGCATTCATCCCACCTACACGCGCACAAATGTACACAAACATTCTTCTCGTCATATGAAAATTGTGTATGAACTTTGTGTTAGTGAAGCAGCGAAGCACATCTTGGCTGTGACTCCGCAAACACACGTT